CACACACACACACACACACACACACACACACACACACACACACGACAGTTCGACCGTCGTTTCCGAGGATGTCCACCGTGTGCTCCACAGCAAGTTGCAGCTGACAGGGTGACTTGCGCGTGAATTAGTTAAAAGTGGTAGTAGACTTGCGCTACATCTACTGTACTCTATCTTCCCCACTCCCCACCTGAACCCGGTGTCAAGACAGAGTCAGGAAGACCAGAAGCGTCGGAGGCACGGCCGGGCACTCACCTAGGCGTTCCACCACACCCCCTGATCCACACATCAAATGACTAATATTTTAGCCAACAACGACACAAAATGGTGGTTGGCACGGCCGAAGCCGCACCTAGGCATGCCGAAACACCCGGCTTGGATCCCACGGAGTGTGAGTGCCATAAATGTCACATTAAGAAGGAGCCATTGCAGCCTGACACTTGGACCACCAGCCAGCCGCTCCACACAAACAAACAGCACTGGGCCGGCCGCGAGGTCCAAGTTATCCCGTCAGTTGGCAACCTTCCAAGCCACGGCTTTTAGCGCACTGTGATAGCTTCCAGCGCGTCAGATTGTTTATCGTGAGGAAAATGCGCTGAGTCGTCAACCTCACTCTCCCTTTCCATTCCCAGACCGCAGACACTGTCCGAGCCGATCAGTTGACTAATGCAGGGAATGGGCGCGGTGGCTGACATGGTCTAGTGACTTCGTTTGCGCGCGCCACATGCACAACCTGGCCCCCCAAACACGAGCACCAGGATTTCACACATCGGGGATTGAGCGGCGTACATCTCATGTGCATGAGGGTGTCACAGATCGCTTAAGAAGGGGCCGTTACAGCCTGGCTCTCAGCCCACCAGTCCGCCACTCCACAAAAACGCACACACAACTGGACGGACTCCGTGGACTGAGCTGGGGCGTCAGTCAGTCGCCTTTAGTGCCACGGCGCCTGACATGCCGTGATAATCTCAGACTGGAGTCACACAGGCAGATGGGCATCCGCACCGAGACCGATTCAAGACGCGCACTTCCCACATGCACAGAGGGGGCATTTGGGGGCTTGTGGTGAGTGATGCTGATGTGCAAGGAGATGGTGGTGAGGAAGGCTGTGATTGCGTCGTGCAGGCGGCGGTTTTCTACCGCAAGTCTTTGTGGACGCGCATGTGGCCGAAGAGGTCCATGCGGTGCACGAATGTGCAAGCGCAATGTGGACAGTGGAGGCGGATGCGGCGCGTGTAGGTTGGTGCTCCACACACTGGTTCGCCAGTCTCTGTGCGATGGTTCGCAAGTGTCTGACAAGGCCGATGTGCTAGGTGAAGGTGTGGTCACAATGAGGGCAGGTGTAGACCAAGCCCTCATCATTGGTGTTGACGGTGATGGTGGTGTTGGTGTTTGTTGGTGTGTCAGGATTGTGTGTAGTGTTTATGTGCGTGGCAGATGCCACAACGGCAGACGTTGAGGCAGTGGGGAAGAAGGAGGAGGAGGAGAAGAAGAAGAAGAAGAAGGAGGAGGAGGAGGAGGAGGAGGAGGAGGAGGAGAAGGGGGATGGTAGTGGTGGTTTGGGAGGGCCGTCGGAATTATTTGACGGCGTAGGGGGCGAGGGAGAGGTGGGCGGAGCAACGACGGTTGGTGCAGTCCGAATGCTGCAGTTGGTCCGAAGGTGTCCAACAAGTTCAGTTGGCGACCAGAATGTCCGCTGACTCCGTGGACAAGTTGGGGGCAGTCAGGCGTTGACGTTGCGAGGTGGGCTCCGCTGAGATTTGCATGCTTCTCGTTTGGCTTTCGCGGCGGCGATGCGGTTAGCCTCGTCGATCGTTCCGCCTGTCTCCACTCTCCTCCTCCAGGTCGGTCGGTTTTGAACGAGGTCCTCCCAGTTGTCCGGGTTGATCTGCAGACGCTTGATGGAGGTCTTCATTGTGTCCCTTTATCGACGGATTTGGCATCCTTTGCGGAAGGAACCCGTGGCAAAATCTCCATTGAATAGTCGTTTGGGTAGCCGCTCGTTGTCCATACGCGTGAGTTGGACGCTCCAACGCAGTTGCAGTTGTTTCAGCATGGCGTAGATGCGGAGGATTCCCGTCTGCTCCAGTACGTCAGTCTGGGGGATCCGGTCCTGTCAGTTCACCTTCTGTGTCAGTCGAAGATAGCTGAGGTGGAAGTGATTGAGTCTCCACGCCTGATTCTTGTAGACCGTCCAGGTCTCCCCTTCAAACGGCAGCGTCGTCAGAATGACTGTATTGTACATCTACAGCTTGATGTTGGGGTGGAGACCATGACGGTTCCAGACTGTATTTTTCAGACGGCCAAAGGCTTGGCTGGCTTTAGAAATCCGGCGGGCAACTTCTTCGTCAATTTTGTCGCTGCGGGAGAGTGTGCTGCCCAGATACGTGAAGCTGTCCACTACTTGCAGTTGGGTTCCGCTCACGCTGATTTGCGGCGCATTGTGGGGGGCTGTGTGGGGCGGCGGTTGGTGCATGACCACCGTCATCTCCGTTCTGATGATCAGGTCGAAGTTCTTGCAGGTGGCAGAGAAGAGATCTCTGCTCCTTTGCACGTCTCCTTTAGCAGTTGCATCGAGGACGCAATCGTCGGCGACGAAAAGTTCATGAACGGCAGTTGCGGATACACGCGATTGGAAGTGCATCCGCCGCTGACTAAGAGGGTGGCCGTCGGTCCTGTAGGTGACACGGATCGGTAGGCGTCCATCAGCGTGGCAGAGAACATGAGACTGATGAGGATAGGCGCGTGGATGCAGTCCTGTTTCCCTCAGTTGCGAATGCCTCTGAGACAGCTCCATTGTCCGTAACGATCGCCATTATGCCATGTGGAGCTGACGCACCATCTGATTGAATCGTTCGGGACATCCGAATTTCTGCATGGCTTTTCACAGTTCTTCACGATCTACCGTGTCGAAGGCTTTCGTTAGATCCACGAAGGTAGATAACGGGTGAGTCCCCATCTCCTGACACTTCTCCTGCAGTTGACGGGCGTCAAAGATCATGTCGGTGGTTCGGGAGGTTGAGAAGAATGCGGACGAAGATTTTTCCGGCGATGTTCGTCAGGGAGACGCCCCTGTGATTGTCGCTGATTTGGCGGTTTCCTTTCCGCATGTACAGATGCATGATTGTAGTGTCCTTGAAATCCTGCGGGACTTCTTCTTGACGCCACTTCTCCCGGAAGAGCAACGTCAGATGCTTCATGAGTTGGAGACCACCGTGTTTTTAGATCTCAGTAGGAATCGCGTTCAATCCGGGCGCTTTTCCGCTGGAGAGCTGCTGCACATCCTTGATGATTTCATGGAGAAAGGACGGGATGTCGGGGTCTGCGTTGGTCTCCACTTGAGGCAGACGGGCGATGGCGGCATCGGAGATGGTGGACGGGCAGTTGAGGACACCTTTGAAGTGCTCGGCCCATCGCTGTAGAATTTGTGTCTCCTCGGTGAGGAGGATACCCCCGTCGGCGCTGAGAAGAGGAATAGTTCCTTTGGTATGTGGGTTGTAGACAGATTTGATCGCGGCGAAGAAGTTTTTCCATTCGTTGCGGTCGCATACCTTTGGATCTTCTCGGCCTTGCGAGCCGTCCAAGAGTCCTGCATCTCCTGCAGCCGCTGTTGCACAAGGTGGCGACTACGGAAGACGGCTGCTTTGTTGTCGTCGGTGGGGCGGTTGACGTAGGCTTTGTGCAGGCGGTCCTTCTCGGCGAGGAGGTTGCCGATGGCGGCGGCGTTGTCATCAAACCAATCCTGGTGCTGGTAACGTGCGCGAACGAGGACGGCCAGGGCTGTCGACTGGACGAGTGTGTGTCGGTGCTCCATGCACTGGTTCGCCAGTCTCTGTGCGATGGATTCGCAATGGACCGCCCGGGCCGATGTATGAGGTGGATATACGGTCGCAGTAAGGACAGTTTGGGATTGAGTTCATATCGCTGGATGTCCGGGGTGGTGATGATGATGAATGTGTTGAAAATATAGCGGGATACTTTAGTTCAAATAGGCTTTATGCGAGAAGCCGACAAATTTTGACCAAACACTATAAATTGGCATACTCACGACTGTGTTACGCTACTTATGCTGATATTGCTCCTCCATCTTTATTGGCTCTTGAACTCAACAAACGTTGCTATTTTCAGGATATTTTACCCAACTTTTTACGAAGTGTTTCTGCTTATTGTCGTAGAGAAGTTAGCATTTATGATTACGTGTACTATGACATATCTCTTCAATTCAGCCTTAATAAATGGAGAAAGAAATATACAAATTAAATTTCCTATCGATTTAACAGTACCAATCTTGAAGCCAATGAAAAAGAAGCAACGCAATTACTTCTATATTTTCAAATGCCTTCGACAGAACTTCTTCTGGAAATTGTACTGCACAGTCTGCTTCTTCTAATATATTAGAAGTTATTCAGACAGGTGTGTTTGTTGACGCTTTATTTGTCACCATACAAATAACGGAGGCTTAGGAATTCTTAGATAAAGTTTTAATGTCTGTGTAAAGGCCAGAATGAATTTGTGGTTAAGCAGATAAAGGTAACAGGGCTATATTTGCAAAATGAATAATTTTTTTTAAAATTCGATTGCTCGCGCACAAAACTACCCAGACAAAATGCTTAAAAGCCCTAATAGTTTTTACGATTGCTGTCAATGGGTAAAGTGGAAATTATGCAAATTCAAATTTTTCTGCAGATGGGAACATATCATCCTTCGTCATTGCGAAGCCGAGGACTTGATCGAGTATGTTATCAAAAAAGGCAACATTATCTACTGTAAGGAAACCGGAGTCGTTTCATTTTGATTAACATTTGATGACTTTGGCCTTTCCTTTCTCGGTCCTTTATTAAATTCCTGTCAGCAATCTTTTCGCACCTTTGTTCTTTAAAGACTTGGTCTTCTGCTGAGATTTCGTTAAGCGAAATTTCGCTGCGAATTAGTTTATTCTTTGTGCCTTTATTTGCGATATTACAGCCTTGGGTCGAATATAGCATTAGTGCGTAGCTCACACTGCAATTGAAGATTCCGGTTTTAGGAAAGTTTGCCTCAAGAAAAGTAAAAGCCATCTAATTACTATATTTGTTGACCTGCGTATTTTCGGCAGCAAAAACATATGAACCCTTATTTGTGGTGGTGGTTTACATTGCTAAAAGTCTGAGCATTTGCAGAAATATGATTTGGTCTGTCCGAAGACCGCAGCCACTGAATTCTGCCACTAAAATTTACCTGCGCCAAAAGGTTGCCATAGTAAGCTGCAGTCACGTTAATCGTGCAGTAATTTACGAGATACCTTCCTAAAATTCTACGAATATTCCCATGTTACACTCAAAAAGCCAATTTTTCAAACAGGTGTTTTCGGTATCTCATCATCAGGCCAACACAGTTACAAATAAGCTGAAAATACCAGAATTTCACGGGGTTTATACATGATTCAAGGGCTATAAACACTCATCATTCCCACGCCATCCTCACGCGGAGGTCGGCGTGTTATGATCATCAGGTCAAGGGGAAGTGTCATAGGGTGAGTGATGTTTGTAAGTCGGGTACGTGGAGTACACCACTGTCATCAGGGTGTTAAGGCAGCGTGCAATGACCATCTAAGGTCTCAGTCGGCCACGGAGAACAGTGTCTGTGTCAACGTCTTCTGACAACATAGCACAGCACCGAGTAACACATAGTCGATGTATCACTAAGTCTACCATCGCTGAGTCGATGCCAAAGAAGCCTTTCAAGTTGTCTACCGAACAACAGCAAACTTCTCTAGGGGCCTACGCCAGCTACAGCCGAGGCAGTGCCTATGCGGCTAGCGAATCCAGTGCTACGTTGTCAGAAGACGTTGACATAGGCATTCTGTCTTCCGTGGCCAACGCTGACCTCCGATGGTTATTTCACGCCGCCCCAACCCCCTGATAGCAGTGATGTGTGCCGAACGTACTCGACTTGCAAACACCACTCACACCCTGTGTAACTCTCCCCCTTGCCCCAATGATCCTAACACGTCGACCTCGTAGTGCAGGTGACGTGGGAACGATGAGTGTTTATAGCCCCTGAGTCACTTATAAATCCTGTAAACTTCTCATATTTTCAACTTATATGTAACTGTGTTGGCCTGAAGATGAGTTACCGAAAACACGTGTTTGTCAAATTGACCTCTAAAATTACCGATTTCTACGCTGTATTCAGGGGCACGATTTTTGAAAGGGGGTGTAAAAATTATTTCGATTCAGTCGAAATCACATTTCTAAATGTGGAAACTTTCGGGACAGCGACGCTAACTGGAAAATCTCCACGTCCAAGGTTAATTCACGTTATCAGCTTAAATAGTTGCGGAGTTTTCCATAGAGGGGTTCAGCATTTGGCGTACATACATCTGTCTTCGACAAACACGTACCAAGCATGTACAAATATAAAAAAGAGGCCAATCCAAACACACGGAAAATCAGAGAGATCGAGTTTTGGTTGTCTTGAGAAGTGGACGCGATCACTGGTACAAAAGTTTTATTCGCCTGACGCTTTGGAAACTTCTCCAGAGGCCTACGCCAATGGGGGCTAGCCACAGCCGAGGCAGTAATTATATGGCTAGAGAATCCACTCCTATAGAAGCGAAGAGACGAGTCCCAGGAAGTAGTCTTGAAGAAGGAGACACGATCGCCGGGACAAGAGCTTTATTAGCCTCCACGTTACCGACTTACAAACATTCCTCACACCCTATGTCACCCTCCTTGGCCCAATGACCATAGCACGCTGACCTCGTCATGCGGGTGGGGTGGAAATGATGACTGTTTACAGCCCTCGAATCACTCATAAACCCTGTAAAATTCTGATATTTAAACTTATGTGTAACTGTGTTGGCCCGAGGATGAGTTAGCGAAAACACGTGTTTGCCAAATTGACCTCTAAAATTATTGATTCCTGTGCCGTATTCTGTAGCACAGTTTTTGAAATAAGGCATGTATGTCACTTCGCTTCTGTCAAAATTGCATTTTGAAAATGCGAAGAACTTTCCGGACAGTGGCGTTAGCTTGAAAATCTACGCGCAAAATGTTGACTTGCATCATCTGGTTAGATATTTGAGGAATTTTCCATTGAAGAATTGAGAATTTGGCGGCCATAAATCTGTTTTCGATAAATACTTATCAGGCAGATACATATATAAGAAAAAGGCGCTAATCAAAGCACACGGAAAATCAGAGAGTTCGAGTTTTGATTGTCTTGAGAAGTGGAAGCAATCACTGAAACAAAAGCCTTATTCGCCTAAAGTTTCGTATCCATTGTCAATCCATCACGAGAGACAGCACTAGATACGGGTAATTCATACATAAGGGGTTTACAGTATTTATCAAATGCCGTAGTTATGCTGCCGCATACCTATGAAGATCAACGGCTCTCCATTTCACTGCGAATGGTGGCCCTTAGTGCGATAGTGGCTTAATGGCCGGCATTCGAGTCGTCAATCGTTGCAATTTCATCACCCGTGTTAGATGTTGGCCTGCTGACTACACGACAATTTGGCTAACCAAAACTTGCTCCGGAAACAGAGCTCACCTGCGCGCACACCGCGTGGCTGACTATTCCACCCACATATAGTCTAAGCGCCAAATATGGGGTAGGAAGACCATTGCCTTTATTAATGGACCGGGAGGCAGTGAACCATGACTCAGGCAGGTCGTGCACCACGCGATTGTCACCTCTCACGAGAATTTCGGCCTCGTCAAACTTGAATGTTTGGCCGACTCCCGCGACTTGGCACCCAACACCGCTTCTCCGCACCGGTGTTCGACCATTCGAGTTCACAGCAGTCTTCCAGTTACTCCGGCATGGCTGCTTTGCCCGCAATTGCACCAGGTCCGATAAAGGATTCTAGGCGTTTCATGTCGAGGCAGTGGGTCTTTTAGTGCCATTACCCGGCGCCCGATGGCTGCCTCCAGTCTGTGTGCCACTTCAAATCTTAGTGGCAGGAGACGGCGGCTGACGGCCGCAGAGACGTTCTTTACATATAGAAGCGTTCGCCGAACTTCAGGGTCGGTGCGATTTGGTCCCTCATCTCGTGTGCGTATGCATCGGTTGGCAACGCTGCATGGGTAACTATCTGCCCTGAACACCCATTGAAGATACTGTAATCAGGCAACTTTGTCTTCTGGTTCACTGCAGTGAGCATCAGCACGCCGATTCAGCGCCCTTACGCAGCTGCTTTTTTCAGTTGATTGGGTAGTTGCTGTTGAGGTTTAGTACTGGCGTCGTATTGGTCGCATTCCTGAACAATTCAGGCCTTAGATAACCACGATCATTGAGGCGGACAAGGACGTCAAGAGGGGCCAGCGGGTTGTTTTATTCCTCCTCCACCGTAAATTGCATGTCCTGGGAGACAGCATTGTGCCGTGTAAATACTGCAACCCCTTCCCCACGAATTACGCTTATCTGGTTCCGTCTCTGATGATAGGTTCGAAAATGGATCCGAACGCCAGGCGAATAAAGCTTCTGTTCTATCGATCGCGTCTACGCCTTCTCAACTGCTTTCTGAGACTCGCATTTTGGATTATACTAGCAATATGCGTTTCTTTTTAAACGAGTCATATTAAGAATACTGAAGTATGATTTAAGGCTGTAGATATTAATCTAGTCAGGTAATTATACTTCTTTTGGACGGGAGAGCGTTGGAAAGAATCGTATCGAGGTGGGAGAATGCACAAATAGTTGCATCTCGTTAACAGACTAACTGTCTTTTGGCCATGGTAAATGCCGGGCCCTCACGAATTTCGTCTTTGCCATTGACTGGTCTGCGTAACCGTATTGCAGCTGCTTCTGTTATTGCTGATGGAAGCT